TAAGTAATTTACAACATCATATTGGTTCAAATAAGTAATTTACAACATCATATTGGTTCAAATAAGTAATTTACAACATCATATTGGTTCAAAAAAGTCATTTACAACATCATATTGGTTCAAGTAATTTACAACACCATATTGGTTCAAGTAAGTAATTTACAACATCATATTGGTTCAAGTAAGTAATTTACAACATCATATTGGTTCAAGTAAGTAATTTACAACATCATATTGGTTCAAAAAAGTCATTTACAACATCATATTGGTTCAAGTAATTTACAACACCATATTGGTTCAAGTAAGTAATTTACAACATCATATTGGTTCAAGTAATTTACATCATATTGGTTCAAGTAAGTTATTTACAACTAAAATTTGCATGTCATCTATTTATTTATCAATTTTTATGAAAGTTTCACGTAATATGTAGAGTTTCTGCCTCTACAAAAAGTTATATTTGTTTAATAATTTAATTTATTTATGCTATAAACATTTATATATATCATTTTGTTGTATATTTTTAAGGGTGATGTAAATATTTTTATTAATAAAATTAAACATATTTTGGATAAAATTAAGAGAACAACTTCTTTATTAAATGATATTGTGATAGCTGATTGTCATAGAAATTATTTCACTTGACACTTGTGTATGATGTAAAAAAAAATTAAATTAAAATTCTTTGAAAAATTCAATTATTTTTTTTGGCCATTTTTATTTAGGCTACGATGCTGAAACTCAGTCCAGGTGGAGCCTATTTTATATACAATTAATAAATAAAGTTTAATTGAAATTGATTTTTTTTAAATTTCCCTAGTTATGTTTCCCTTCAAGAGGTAGCTTGATCGTTATCCTATGGGTAGGTTATCTTGAGGTTATCTTCTCGATAACCAAAGTCTTGGGTAGACAAAGACTGATCTTTAATTGCCCCCCCCCCCTTTCTTGAGGGGGTTTAATGGTCTTTTTCTTTTTTTTTTGGGGGGGGGTGTAGCATTAACTGCTCCAGCCTTGTTTGTACCCACACGATGAACAGGTGAACACTGTTCATTGATTATATGGTGGGATTATATTGTGGAATTATACTATATTGTGGGATTATATTGATTATATTGTGGGATTATATTGATTATATTGTGGGATTATATTGTGGGATTATATTATAATGTGGGATTATATTGTGGGATTATATTATAATGTGGGATTATATTGTGGGATTATATTGTTGGATTATATTGTGGGATTATATTATATTGTGGGATTATATTGATTATATTGTGGGATTATATTGATTATATTGTGGGATTATATTGATTATATTGTGGGATTATATTGATTATATTGTGGGATTATATTATAATGTGGGATTATATTGTGGGATTATATTATAATGTGGGATTATATTGTGGGATTATATTGTTGGATTATATTGTGGGATTATATTGATTATATTGTGGGATTATATTGATTATATTGTGGGATTATATTATATTGTGGGATTATATTAATTATATTGTGATAAAAAAAGGGAATTTATCAGGGAAAAGCGCCAAGCCATTACGCCTATATAGCACTGGGAAGGGATCAGAATAAGGATTAGGGATGGGACGGGGAGGAAAAAGGAATGGTTACCCAACCACTTGTGTGTACGGTCGGTCGGGGAATTGAACGCCGACCTGCATGAAGCGAGACCGTCTCTCTCTACCGTCCAGCCCAAGCGGTTGGGCTTACATATATTGATTATGAAGATGAGTGTTTGAGAGTGTTTGAGAGTGTTTGAAAGTGTTTGAGAGTGTTTGAGAGTCGTTTGAGAGTAGTTTGAGAGTGTTTGAGAGTGTTTGAGAGTGTTTGAGAGTGATTGAGAGTGTTTGAGAGTGTTTTAGAGTGTTTGAGTGTGTTTGAGTGTTTGAGAGTCGTTTGAGAGTGTTTGAGAGTGTTTGAGAGCCGTTTGAGTGTTTGAGAGTGTTTGAGAGACGTTTGAGAGTGTTTGACAGTCGTTTGAGAGTGTTTGAGAGTCATTTGAGAGTCGTTTGAGAGTCGTTTGAAAGTGTTTGAGAGTGTTTGAGAGTCGTTTGAAAGTGTTTGAGAGTGTTTGAGAGTGTTTGAGAGTAGTTTGGGAGTGTTTGAGAGTGTTTGAGTGTTTGAGAGTGTTTGAGAGTCCTTTGAAAGTGTTTGAGAGTGTTTGAGAGTCGTTTGAGTGTTTGAGAATGTTTGAGAGTCGTTTGAGAGTGTTTGAGAGTCATTTGAGAATGTTTGAGAGTGTTTGAGAACCGTTTGAGAGTTTTTGAGAGTGTTTGAGAGTGTTTGAGAGTAGTTTGAAAGTTTGAGAGTGTTTGAGAGTCGTTTGAGAGTGTTTGAGAGTGTTTGAGAGTCGTTTGAAAGTGTTTGAGAGTGTTTGAGAGTGTTTGAGAGTGTTTGAGAGTCGTTTGAGAGTGTTTGAGAGTCGTTTGAGTGTGTTTGAGTGTGTTTGAGTGTGTTTGAGTGTGTTTGAGAGTGATTGAGAGTTGTTTGAGTGTTTGAGAGTGTTTGAAAGTCGTTTGAGAGTGTTCGAGAGTGTTTGAGAGTCGTTTGAGAGTCGTTTGAGTGTTTGAGAGTATTTGAGAGTGTTTGAGAGTCGTTTGAGAGTGTTTGAGAGTGTTTGAGAGTCGTTTGAGAGTGTTTGAGTGTTTGAGAGTCATTTGAGTGTTTGAGAGTGCATGACAGTGCTTGAGAGTGCTTGAGTGTTTGAGAGTGTTTAAGAGTCGTTTGAAAGTGTGTGAGAGTGTTTGAGAGTGTGTGAGAGTCCCTTTTATCAAGGCCGCAGGAGTCCGGCTCGGCAGCCGTCTAACACAGAGTCTTTGCAACACGTCAAGAGTCTATCGTGGGACTCAACTATGGCTATCGTAAACCGCTATCGTTATTGCTATAGTCCACGCAGAAATGTCGTTACCTTTGACCTTCCCACCGTATGCAAATTACCCCCAGCAAGTTGTTGTTGTTGTTCAAGATTCGCTACTTGGAACAAAAAGTTCCAAGCAGCACGGGCTATGGTGATCCCGTAGTCCCCGAGCAAGATTTTGAGTATTTCAGGGGCTTTGGGTATCTTCGACGGGGTTAAATACACCCTGATTCACCATGCTCTTCGTAGCGTAAAACATAACTTATTGTTCCAGCTATCGTAATTCAGAAATTGTTGTTCTAGCTATCGTAACCTTTGCCATTCAGCTATCGCAACCCTTGCCATTCAGCTATCGTAACCCTTGCCATTCCAGCTATCGCAACCCTTGCCATTCCAGCTATCGCAACCCTTGCCATTCCAGCTATCGCAACCTTTGCCATTCCAGCTATCGCAAACCCTTGCCATTCCAGCTATCGCAAACCCTTGCCATTCCAGCTATCGCAACCTTTGCCATTTCAGCTATCGCAAACCCTTGCCATTCCAGCTATCGTAATCCTCACCATTCCAGCTATCGCAACCCTTGCCATTCCAGCTATCGCAACCCTTGCCATTCCAGCTATCGCAACCTTTGCCATTCCAGCTATCGCAAACCCTTGCCATTCCAGCTATCGTAATCCTCACCATTCCAGCTATCGCAACCCTTGCCATTCAGCTATCGCAATCCTCACTATTCCAGCTATCGTATCTCAAACAACTCCCCCTCCCCCCTCCCCAGGTAAAAGAAAGGTTTCACGCCACGTAAATCAAGATTTAAACTCGTACTAAGACTGAAAACGAAACAGGTACATCCCGGTACCTGGCTGCACCAACCTAGGTACAGTGAGGGTACGTCGGTAACTGGAATTTGGGTTGAGCTTGGGTGTGAGGGAACGACAGGCGCGTGAAGTCGACTGGAACAACCTGTCAAGCATTGATGTCGACCTGTCAAGCATTGATGTCGACCTGTCAAGCATTGATGTCGACCTGTCAAGCATTGATGTCGACCTGTCAAGCATTGATGTCAACCTGTCAAACATTGATGTCGACCTGTCAAGCATTGATGTCGACCTGTCAAGCATTGATGTCGACCTGTCAAGCACTGATGTCAGCCTGTCAAGCATTGATGTCAGCCTGTCAAGCACTGATGTCGACCTGTCAAGCATTGATGTCAGCTTGTAAAAACATTGATGGCAACCCTTGTCAGGCATTGATGTCAGCCTGTCAAGCATTGATGTCAGCCTGTCAAGCATTGATGTCAACCCCTGTCAGGCATTGATGTCAAACTGTAAAAGCATTGATGTCAGCCAGTAAAAGCATTGATGTCAGCCTGTCAGGCATTGATGTCAACCCCTGTCAGGCATTGATGTCGACCTGTCAGGCATTGATGTCAAGCCCTGTCAGGCATTGATGTCGACCTGTCAGGCATTGATGTCAAGCCCTGTTAGACACTGATGTCAACCTGTCAAGCATTGATGTCAACCTGTCAAGCATTGATGTCCCCAGAAACGCTTGCTGTTTACCTTTTGAAACAAACTAGGCAACAAGCGTTTAAACTGTCGTAGTGGTTGGGCCGCAAAGGCTGGCCCGCTTCCAATGGCCAAGGCGAAACCTACTGAAATATATATATATATATATATATATATATATATATATATATATATATATATATATATATATTAACTATAATGTAATTAACTGTAATATAATTCGCTTTGAAATTTACCAATGGTTTAATTTTTCCCGTCTTCTTCAAACGCGGATAATGTGACGAAACCGGTTAATCATCCGTAAGCCTCGTTACCAAGAGCAACAATAGTGACCATTACCATCAATCAACTACCATCAATCAACTACCATCAATCAACTACCATCAATCAACCTAATTCAATGAGCAGCGCCTAAAAATGGCTTCAATATAGACTAAAAAAATCACCAGGCAACAGATTCAAGAAACAAATAAATCTTTTAAACTGATCTGCAGATTAAAAAAACAAAACAAATTGATCTAAAACACTTGATAAGATTAATCAGCTATAAGGTAATTAATCCCATCGTTAATAAAAGATTATAATGTAGGTCTTACCTAAGTGGTTTAGCGTTGATTTAAGGTGAAGGGTCATCAATGAATGAAGACTCGGCACAGTGTCATCACAGGATTCATATTATAACATTCCATGTTCTTGCTGGCATCAAAGTTTCGATTCTTTTCGATTCTTGACGTGGCGTCAAGTATATTTTGATTCAGTAATTCTTATTTGCACTGTATGGAGGCTCAAGAGTGAAGGTACATCATCCCCTAAGAGCTATATCAAGGCTCCACTATCGATGGGTTCTTTATTTTTTTTGGCGTAAACATTCTTAAGAACAATCACTAGAACTTTGAAGACCGTAAGGTTAATGAAGAATTACTTCTTGATTTCTTAACATTGCCAGACTTGAAATGTCTTTAAATAACTGTTTTAGCTCGTAGTCAATTTGTACAATCTAACAAGTCTTTGAGAAATTCGATTTATAAACACCTTAGAAAACTTTTGCTTCACCAGAGAGGATTTCGGGACGCGGGCGGGAGGAGGTGTGGAGAGAAGCGACGATGTTCTCCCCTCAGCGTCATCGGTCCAACTGACGAGCGCTGGGCCATCCCAACGTCAGCCAGCCGCGTCGCGGTGCCGGGACGCGCCGGAAACATGTCTTACTTGCGCGCATCGGGGCGACTTTAAGAATATCAAAGTTCGCTCCATGTTGTAGAGTCCATTAATCTTTAAATATCTCCGTAATCTGGAACATTTTTTTTCAAAGCTTCGTGTGGCTTTACAGACATTTAATCGCCACCGTTACACACCAAATGCAATACAATATTTGCTTTTGGATTTCGTCTGAAATTAAATTTTATGTTGAGAGAGAAAGAATGAATTATGTAATCTTTGGGACCATTCAGCTGAGGTGGGGCGCCTGTTTCCCGGTGCTTGTGGAGACTACTGCTAGTTTGCTAGTTAACATAAACTAGACCTAACTATTCAATACATTTGAGAGATATTATAATATTAACATATATTTGAAAAAATACAAATTACTAACCTGAGAACGGGTTTAGCGACCAGAACGATCTCAGAAATACCTAACTGATCCTCAACTGAGATTTTAAACCAATCCTGAAGCTCCACCCGTTCACCCATGCCATTTAAGATGCAACCAACAATATCTAAATACCATTTAATTCACTCTACAGGAGACTTCTCACTAGAAAACCAACGATATTGTGGAGTGCATTGTATTTAAAACAGACGGAAGGGTGGATTGCTATCTGATATCGCAGTGGATTCTCTGGTAGAGTGAAGGTATGTGGATGGATCCAGTTAGTAGCTAAGGGCTTTCACTATCAGCCTCCCAGAGGGATATGTGGTCTGTGTTTTTCGAAAAATAGAACGATGGTGTGTGGGGAGATGTTGCATTGTTTGCAACTCTTTCGTGCGTAAGACGATACTTGTGCAGATAACAGCAGAGAGAGAGAGAGAGAGAGAGAGAGAGAGAGAGAGAGAGAGAGAGAGAGATAGAGAGAGAGAGAGAGAGAGAGAGAGAGAGAGACAGAGACAGAGAGAGACAGAGAGAGACAGAGAGAGACAGAGAAAGACAGAGAGAGACAGAGAAAGACAGAGAAAGACAGAGAGAGAGAGAGAGAGAGAGAGAGAGAGAGAGAGAGAGAGAGAGAGAGAGAGAGAGAGAGAGAGAGAGAGAGAGAGAGAGAAGCAGAGGGATGAGTAACTAATATCTCTGATTTACTAGCTGCTGCTGCTTGCAAAGGTCAATAAACAGACTCATATATCAATAGTTCTTTGTTCTTTCTCTCTATCTCCTGTTCCCCCCAGTTCGTTTTTTTTTATCTTTTCTTTCCCGCCTCACCTTTATCCATCTCCTCGCTTTCCCTCAGTTTTTAACCACTATCCACTTTGTTTTCTACATCTCAGACAGGAGAAGCAGAAACACAGGAATTGTGAAAGATGCTATACCTAGATCCTTACCACATAAGATAGTCTATTTCACTGATTCAGTTACTCATTGACTCAGTTACTCACTGACTCAGTTACTCACTGATCCAGTTACTCACTGACCAAGTTACTCACTGACCAAGTTACTCACTGATCCAGTTACTCACTGACTCAGTTACTCACTGACCAAGTTACTCACTGATCCAGTTACTCACTGACTCAGTTACTCACTGACCAAGTTACTCACTGATCCAGTTACTCACTGACTCAGTTACTCACTGACCAAGTTACTCACTGACCAAGTTACTCACTGACCAAGTTACTCACTGATCCAGTTACTCACTGACTCAGTTACTCACTGACCAAGTTACTCACTGACCAAGTTACTGACCAAGTTACTCACTGACCAAGTTACTCACTGATCCAGTTACTCACTGACTCAGTTACTCACTGACCAAGTTACTCACTGACCAAGTTACTGACCAAGTTACTCACTGACCAAGTTACTCACTGATCCAGTTACTCACTGACTCAGTTACTCACTGATCCAGTTACTCACTGACTCAGTTACTCACTGACCAAGTTACTCACTGACCAAGTTACTCACTGACCAAGTTACTCACTGACCAAGTTACTCACTGACTCAGTTACTCACTGACCAAGTTACTCACTGATCCAGTTACTCACTGACCAAGTTACTCACTGACCAAGTTACTCACTGACCAAGTTACTCACTGATCAAGTTACTCACTGATCAAGTTACTCACTGACCAAGTTACTCACTGACCAAGTTACTCACTGACCAAGTTACTCACTGATCAAGTTACTCACTGATCAAGTTACTCACTGATCCAGTTACTCACTGACCAAGTTACTCACTGATCCAGTTACTCACTGACTCAGTTACTCACTGACCAAGTTATTCACTGACCCAGTGAGAGTATATTATTTATCTCTCAGTAATGATGGAGATATCGCGTCTCTCACCAGCCGGACTTCTCCAACTGTCACACAGTCACAAAAGCGACGTACTAAATTGCCCTAACCTAACCGAGAACACACATGCACAGAAAACGGGGTACAGGCCGTCAATGTTTCGAGTCGCTGTTTTGTAGTACATCATTTTTTGGCTGTTGGGGATTTATACGACAAAATGAGGACGTACAATTCGAGGGAACAAGTTAGTTCTTCAAGTTATGACTTTATTTTGTATTCTAGTTTGGTAGACCGTCGCTCTACCGTCTTAGGCTGGACGGTAGAGGGACGGTAGAGCGTCATGCAGATCGGCGTTCAATCCCCGACCGTCCATAAGTGGTTGGGCACCATTCCTTTCCCCCCGTCCCATCCCAAATCCTTATCCTGACCCCTTCCCAGTGTTATATAGTCGTAATGGCTTAGCGCTCTCCCCAGATAGTTCCCTTCCTTTCCTATTAGCAAGATCATTAATTACAACTTACACTTGGGTCTCTAACAATATGTAAGTCATCTGGTACCCGCCAAACACACACCGAAACTACGACGTTGGTACAACGTTCGAACAAGTTTTAACACCTCCTAACCAGTTATAACAACCAATATAGCAAGTTGTAACAACGTTCTAATACGTCATAAACACGTTAAGCCAAGATGTAACAACTTTATTACATGTTGTAACAAGCGGAAAATAGAGACAGTTTCGGTTTGTGTTTCCAGGGTAATGATAGCTTCGTCAGCTTGTACAAATTAATTATTATTTCCGAATCAATGTACCGAAAAGTGTGATATTAACCTAGAACTTCCGGTTACAATTCTTTTAACCATGTCGTAGCTCAGTCGATTAAGGTAGCGTCTGGGATCCTCTCGGACGTAGGTTCGAACCCTCGTCACGGCTCTCGTGGATTTGTTCATGTGATATTAACCTTTCCAGCTTGAGGTGTACTCAGCTCAAAAGGGATTAAAATAATTTTCTTTGTTAGCCAGACCGGCGGCTGAGCGGACAGCACGCTGGACTTGTGATCCTGTGCTCCCGGGGTCGATCCCAGGCGCCGGCGAGAAACAATGGGCAGAGTTTATTTCACCCTATGCCCCTGTTACCTAGCAGTAAAATAGGTACCTGGGTGTTAGTCAGCTGTCACGGGCTGCTTCCTGGGGGTGGAGGCCTGGTCGAGGACCGGGCCGCGGGGACACTAAAGCCCCGAAATCATCTCAAGATAACCTCAAGATAAGATAACCCGTTTGAAAAGGTCGGAAGGCAGTTACTCAGGTATGCAATAAACCAAAGTCAACAGCCGTCTCGAAGATTAGGCACTCGCTGCCTTGAGTGGTTGGCAGGTTAATGCCTGTCACACGAGGACGCTGCACCTGTCTGATCAAATATGCAGCAAAGTAGTTTAAGTGCCTCGCCCTGAAGGAAGAAAACCATACAAGTTTAGGAGCAAGAACCTAAGTTTACAATTTGGTTTGACATCAACCTAACGCGTGTAAACTGAAGATCTCCCAATCATACAGGCTCCCAGCCTCCACACACTTCTCCCAGCTCCGGAGAGGGAGAAGAAGAAGGAATGGAAGAGGAGAAGGAGGGAGAGAAGAAGAGAAGAAGGGAGAAAAGATGGAACGTGGGAGATGGTACTCCCTAATGTGCTGGTGGAGGGTTCCCCACTCCCCTCTGGGATTATTACCCACACACACATCTTCCCGTCACTTATGGAGGTGAAAGAACAGAAACAAGTCTAAAGTCTAAGAACAGGACTAATTTGTGTAAGTTTGGCGTGGGTGTGAGAATCAAGAACCCCCCCCCTCCCACCTCTCCCCCTCTATCCCCAGGATACCAGCTGGGATGTAAGGACAGGATACCATCTGGGATAGGAACACGGAACAAAGAAGCACCTATCTTTCATAAGAACCCTTTAATTCCAACGTGAATAATTTGTCTAGTATTTTCACGCAACTATTTCACTTCAGGGAAGAATTTTAGTGTTGAAGTTACGATTAATGTTGAGGGCTATCCAGACGATGATGTATATATATATATATATATATATATATATATATATATATATATATATATATATATATATATATATATGTATATATATATAATGATGTATATTCGTTGATGTATATGCATCCTATCCTCCTTATCCCTCCCTCCTCAGAGCCAGATATACATCTGGCTCTCACCAGAGAAGGTCGTATTGACACGTACAAAGATAGCAGAGTCTTCCTTGATATCCTGTGACAGGCAGACTTCGCGTAGGTCTCCTGGTCGTCACTATCCGTCTTGGTCAATCTCCAGACAGCCGGAGGGAGAGACAGAGGGTGGGATAGAGCGTGGGACAGGGTCGGATAAGTGGAACAGGCTGTGACAGGACGGGATAAGATGGAAAAGGTCGTAATAGAGGTGTAAAGGATAACTGGTGGGATGGTTTGGGAGTAATTAGCATCAGGGAAACTAAGACGAAATGTTGAACGTGGGAGATGATTTAGGATGAGCCCTGATGAACGTGGGAGATGATTTAGGATGAGCCCTGATGAACGTGGGAGATGATTTAGGATGAGCCCTGATGAACGTGGGAGATGATTTAGGATGAGCCCTGATGAACGTCTGAATCAATCATTTAACTGTGTATAATTGTGTATAACTAA